TCACTATTTTCCTGGAGGAAGGATGGCGGCCCGTCTTTTTTTTTTTTTTTTTTTAATAATTTTTTAAAGAATGATTTTATTTAACTTCATTTATCATTACCATTACTTTTCCATTTGACCAGAAAGACATACACACACACACACAAACACATAAAGAAAGTGAGAAAGCACACAAACACACATGCAGAGAACGAGCGAGAGAGGAAGAGAGAGAGAGAGGGAGAAGGAAAGTGAGAAAGCAACCCACTGGGTCTGGGACTTGAACCACCATTGGCCATGTGAGAGTCTAGCACCCTTAACCACCATGCGACCTGAAGGCCCCAACAGCCTATCTTTTTCTGGCTAGGAAATATCCTGAAGTGTTACGAAAAACAACTTTTTTAAAATTTCATTTTGTCAGGGCTGGCAGGTGGTATGGTGATCAAGGCGCTGGATTTCCACATGTCCAATGGGGGTTCAAGTCCTGGACATGACAGCTTGCTTTCTCACTTTCCCTCACTCTCTCTCTGGTCAAATTAAATAAACAAACAAATAAATAAATAAATAAAATAATTCTAAAACAAATGTCATTTTGTCTTCAAAATCTTATGTTTTGTTGTTGTTTTTCTCTCAAGGGGGTACCTATTTTTCGATCGCTGGAGAAAAACCTTTCAATTTTTCTGTTGGGTGGAGTAGGCGTGGTGACAGAGTTAATTAGAGTATCAGTAGTTTTAACCTTGTCTTTTTTGTTGCTGTTTGGTTTCACCTTATTCCCACATTCCTACTTTCAGAAGTACATGGTCCTGTGTTTGCTTCGGCAGCACATATAACTAAAATTGGAATGATACAGAGAAGATTAGCTTGGCCCCTGTGCAAGCACGACACGCAAATTCATGAAGTGTTCTGTATTTTTTGTATAGTATTTTCAACTGCACTGGTCTGAGATATATTTCATGTTAGGTAAATTCTCTTTACAAGCCAAATGATGTATAGCAAATGAATGTTTAAAAAATAATAAGATAGGACCAGTAGTTGGCATAATGGCTATGTTGCTGGGCTCCCATGGAGTTGACTGCAGTTTGAATTCTGGACCTGGTGGCTTAAACTCATGCCAGGCATGTGTATGAGTGAGCCCAAGATCCCAAGAGGAGAATAGAGGAGAAGGGATTGCAGTGTGGCTATTCTCCATAGGGGGTAATTTTTGACTTTCTGTCTCTCTGATGAGCACACACGCCCTGTAGCAATAAATAAATAAAAATAAAAAAGAGCTCTCCAAGAAAAAAAGAAGAAGAATAGGGGACCAGCAAGTGGCGTGGTGGTGAAGGCTCTAGACACTCTCATGTAGCTGACCATAGTTCTAGTTCCAGACCTGGTGACTTCCTTTCTCACTTTCTCTCTCTCTGGCTCTCTCTGGTCAAATTAAAATATGTAAATGAAATTAAGTAAATAGTTCTTTAAAAAATAGTAAGAATAATAATTTAGAAGAAGATAAAAGAAGAACTATATGATTCTTAAAATATTTGAACTTTAGGAAAGTTTTCCCAAACAGAGTAGTTTCTCAGATTTTTGCACTGCCTGTCTAGTATTCACTTTCGCAATTGAGTAAGTCCTTTCATTCTCATTCTTCTGCTTTTCATTTTCTGAAGTTTTATAACTATTCTCTCATCTTGTGTTCTCTTTGCCCTTATAAGTTTGTATTTCACCATCGTTTTATGGGATTTCTGGAGAGGGTGGATTAAAAGGCACACATCCAATTCCCTATTTTTAATTGGAAATTCCTGCCTGCTGTTATCTTTTATTATTTCCTTCTTCTTTCTTTGGTTTGCTTGTTACTGTTTACTAGTACTTCAGGTAATCACTTAACGACTTAAATCTTTCTTGGTTTCTGATAAATGTATTTTAAAAGAACAATTTCCTTTGAGTACTTCTTTACTTTGAGAATTTGAACTGTAGCTTTCAATGTTATTTAAGTGTAAATATTTCACAATCTTATGTTTTCATTTTAGCAAAAATATTAGTAATATATTTTACAATTTCCAGTAACATGAAACATGAAAATTTAAAACCAGTCACCTATTTTGATTTATGCTTTTATTAAATTATGATCAGACCACAAACTTATATGATACTGATTTTCTGTGATTTATTGAAGCTATTTTGTGGCCCATTGCATGACAGACTTTTAGGATATTTCATGTGTGCTTGAAAAAACAAGTGCCGTCTGTGTTTGTTGGGTAAAGAGATTTCTAAATAGCTCGAAGTCAAGCTTATTCATCCTTGAGCCGTTTTTATTTTTATTCTTAATGACTACGTGGTACATTTCATGGATCTTATATTTCTTCTAAAACCAAAAAGTTTTTCTTTCTTGTCTCTGCCATCTGCAGAATTTGCAGAAAGAGCCAACAATTGCAGATCATGACAGCTCTCCCTTCCGTGACATTTGTCTGATCTTTCTTTCATTTTATTAAAACAGGAGTTTCCTCTTATCTGTGCTTTTCCTTCCTGAAGTTTCTTTTATCCACAGTTAACCATGGTCCAATATTGTGTATGTAAGAGAGACTACATTCACAAAACTTTTATGACAGTATATTTTTATAATGATTATATTTCATTTTTGTTATTGTTTACATCTTACTGTGCTTATTTTATACATTAAACTTTAACATACGTATGTTCATATAGGAAAAAATGTAATAAATATAGTATTCAGTAGCATCTACCACTTCAGGCATTCACGGGTCTCCAAACGACCTCCTGTTAATAAGGAGTACTATTTTACAGCAAAGTAATTTTGACTGTTTATATTTTTTCCAATTGGCCACTTCCTAGAGAGACAAAGGAACTTAAACAAGACTCACTTCATATATTTTCATTTTATCATTCGAAAAACCAAGGCCTAGAGAAGTTAATTGACTTAAAAAATTCTACAACTGGTTAATCTATTATAGTTCATTCATCTGGTAAGTAATCTGGTCTATTAACACTTTTCTCAACCTTAAGTTAATGATAAAAATATCTTCATAGGCCTAATGATACAATGTGACAATATTTGTGAAAATGACTACTAAACAGTGAGATATTTTACAAAAGTAAAAAATTCTTATTATAGTTCAGTATAATTTTACAGTAGCGGAATTATTCTAATACCTGATGCATGTAGCAACTATTAATTGTTATATATATAATAGGTATCAGACACATCATTAAGGTTCCCTCTTTCAAAAATGATTAAATATCCTTGGGACTACTAGTTAGTGTAATGGCTATGTTGCTGGACTCCCATGTAATCGACCGCAGTTTGAGTCCTGGACCTGGTGGCTTAAGCTCATGCTGGGCACGTGTGCGTGCGTGCCCAAGATCCCAAGAGGAGAAGAAATTGCGGCATGGCCATCCCCCTAGGGGGGTGATTTCTCGCTTTCTGTCTCTCTGTCTTTTTGGCAAGTGCAGAAACCTCTCCTGGTCCAATATTGTGTATGTAAGAGAGACTACATTCACAAAACTTTTATGACAGTATATTTTTATAATGATTATATTTCATTTTTGTTATTGTTTACATCTTACTGTGCTTATTTTATACATTAAACTTTAACATACGTATGTTCATATAGGAAAAAATGTAATAAATATAGTATTCAGTAGCATCTACCACTTCAGGCATTCACGGGTCTCCAAACGACCTCCTGTTAATAAGGAGTACTATTTTACAGCAAAGTAATTTTGACTGTTTATATTTTTTCCAATTGGCCACTTCCTAGAGAGACAAAGGAACTTAAACAAGACTCACTTCATATATTTTCATTTTATCATTCGAAAAACCAAGGCCTAGAGAAGTTAATTGACTTAAAAAATTCTACAACTGGTTAATCTATTATAGTTCATTCATCTGGTAAGTAATCTGGTCTATTAACACTTTTCTCAACCTTAAGTTAATGATAAAAATATCTTCATAGGCCTAATGATACAATGTGACAATATTTGTGAAAATGACTACTAAACAGTGAGATATTTTACAAAAGTAAAAAATTCTTATTATAGTTCAGTATAATTTTACAGTAGCGGAATTATTCTAATACCTGATGCATGTAGCAACTATTAATTGTTATATATATAATAGGTATCAGACACATCATTAAGGTTCCCTCTTTCAAAAATGATTAAATATCCTTGGGACTACTAGTTAGTGTAATGGCTATGTTGCTGGACTCCCATGTAATCGACCGCAGTTTGAGTCCTGGACCTGGTGGCTTAAGCTCATGCTGGGCACGTGTGCGTGCGTGCCCAAGATCCCAAGAGGAGAAGAAATTGCGGCATGGCCATCCCCCTAGGGGGGTGATTTCTCGCTTTCTGTCTCTCTGTCTTTTTGGCAAGTGCAGAAACCTCTCCAAAAAAAAAAGAAGAAGAAGAAAAATGATTAAATATCCTGGCTTTTAGACCTTCTAGTTTATATAGAAACCACATACATAAATGAGAAATCCAATAGAGTGAGATAAGTGCTCTAAGCAGAGAAAGTTATAGTTTAGAGATTTTTCTAGTGGAAGAAGTATCCACTCTATCAGGTCAGTGGGAGCTTTATAGAGGACAGATCATACTCTCTGACATGTCTGAGTCAGCAGTGAATTGTTTGCTTGGAATGACCACCACTCCTTTATTCTCTGATAAATATACCCAGGAAATCATAACACCTTCAGTATTTGTACAGAATGCTGTGTAAGTGGAGGTGTTGAAAAAGATGAGATTGTAGACTTAGGCCATGCTTGCTTTCTGGACAGTCTCATGGATCATAGACCTTGACGAAAATGAGAAGTCACTAGAAGGTCTTGGGCAGGAAAATGCTTATTTGTATGTAGAATTAATGCCTTTGGAATATAGAAACATCATGGATATGTTACTTCATACCCTGAGTACATTTGTTTATTGGACACTTACAGGAAAACTTTTCATTATCATTAGGCTTAGGGTTCCTATTTCTTTGTATTTATGGTTGTTCCTCATCTATGTGCTATCATTTTCCTGATGCAGCTACTCGGTAAAGAAGAAAAATGAAGAGTTTGTGAAAATCTTGAGAGAGAAATTAGGGGAATCACTTTTGCTCTCCAGACTTGTGAACCCTTTATCTTTCTTCCAGAAATTTTTCTTTAAGTTTCTTTTCTTCCTTCCTTTTTTTCTTTCTTCTTCCCTTTTTTGTTTTCTTCCTTCTATATTTCTTGTATCCACTCAACATAGACCTTGATTCTATATTTTTGTTCCTCTCTGGTCAATGATTTTGGATCAGGATGTTAGCAGCTCACACTATGTCCACTGAGAAGAATTCACTGACAAAGAGTAAAAGTACTAAGGTTCTTGACTCAGAGTTTTTTTGTATTTTCTATACAATGTGAAAACTTATATTCTCAAACAGTAAAACCATTTTCAACCTCAATAATTGCTTTTCTCAATTACTGTAGAAATCTCATAAGCCCTGAAATATAGAAAGGCCAATGATTTTTCATGTTACTTAAAAATTGCTTTTTTTCTCATCATTATATTTATGTATATACCCAGCACTGTACCCCTTGATTTATTTTGGTACTACTCTATGCTATTCTATAGCTGTATATAAATGATAGTGATAACTTGTTTATTGTTCTACATTTATGAAACGTTTTTTGTTGTGGTGTTTCTGTTTGTTTATTTTGGATTGTTCAAAGTTTATATTAGCTCTGTATTTCTAATTTTATTTTGTCTCTTTTCTTTGAATTAAGCATATTGCATTCTAACATCAAATAAGCAGAAAATTTTATTTTCTGATGAAATGATATAAAATTATATATAGTTAAAATAATGAATACATATATTTAATTATTTAAAATTTTCTTATGTTAATACTTTTAAGGCTATTTTTCTATTTTCTTTTTAAAATTTAGAATGTGTAGT